TGAATAGAAATTAACGGAACATTGACTCATTTTTGGAGGCCAGTGTACAGCGGAATTATAAAAAACCTCCAAACTAACGCAACCACGGAAAAGCAGTATCACCCCCTTCAGTTGGATACTTGCGAAGATCTTGCTTAAATTGCTGAGAAAAGAGTTTAAAGTATTTCTTCAAGAGATCTGTCGAAAATCCGTTATTTCTCAGCCTTTGGTGTAAAAGTTCACTATTAAAGTTGAATCCTACTAAATCAGTCGCGAGGCTGATCGAGCCAATCGATCGTTGGCTGTGGCACTGACAGACGGACTTAAGCCGTGATTGCCTCTGAGGCATTAGGTACTGTCTAACTGTTTAATTCTATAGGCCGTAGCACCTGGCAGTAGAAACTTTCTGGAGAGGGTTTGTTTGGACAGACTTGCGGCCTCAACCCCCTGATGACGCAGGCTGCCTGACAAATTTCTAGGATGAGATCCTTCGCTGTCCGTTCTCTTTTTAACTTCCTTTAGCCTCGCCCCATTTCTGGAGGCTGTTTTGCCATAGATTAATTGCTATATGTCCTCTTCTTCTGGGCTAGGAGCCAGTCATAGCCTGCCTGTTACCTCGGGTGGCTATTGCTAGGGAAGGCATCACGGTTTTACTTTAATTCAATCTATATATAGATATATATGTATACTCCTTGTATATATGTATATATATATGTATATATGTATATATATATGTATATATGTATATATATATGTATATATGTATATATATATGTATATATGTATATATATATGTATATATGTATATATATATATAGATATATGTATATTCCTTGCAAATAAAAAAAAAGCTCAATAAAGTAGCTGCATGTTCTAGAGGCCAAGACAGGCAATAGATCTGAGAGAGTAAAATAGACTTAGATCCGCTCTGGGGGCTTTTAAATCAATGAATGGGTTTTCTTATTACAATACAATTCCAAAAATACCCTGAAAGTCGTGGCTGCAAAAAAGAGATTGTCGCCCCGAATCCTCAGCTTCTTTCCGTCATGCCAGGCAAACTTTCTCATACATGACCCTTTCACCCAATATTAATGACTCATGCCCCTATTTCCCCCAAAGAGGGGTAGGACCTATCAAGAGGCAAAGTCATTAAGAATGTATGTGACATGAGCCAAGAAGGAGAGACAGCCTTTTGGTCTAAGGATGTGATCGGGCGAAGACCTCGTTTCCTATCCTACAACGCTTAGGTTTTTATTTGGAAAGATTTAGTTTACTCATTTCTATAGAAAATTCATTGTAACAAATGGAGAAGGTTGGAAACTTTTTATCAATGGACTTTAGGGTCAACTAGCCTGGATGATCGATTTCCGTCTTGATAATGAAATATTAATCGGTTTGCACTGTCCACAAGATCGCTGCGGCTGTTCCTTCTTCGATATTCCTTCATTATGTCTCTGGTCAACTTATTCCTCCCATGTATGCATCTCATTGGTAGCGCAGCAGACGTTCCTGTCTCTTCGAAGTCAAACTAGGGAACATTCATTACATGTAACACAGAAACGCTGATTCCTTACCAATAGAAGTAATTTTTACATTTTCAGCGCAGTGCGACTAGGAATTTGGTAAAAAGTGAAATTGAACGATTCACGATCTCAAAAAGGTTGTCACTAGAATCTTATGCTCATTCATATCTACATAAAAGTTTTCTCCTGGTTTACCGATCGGAATAAACGAGAAAGCCGCTGCCAAAAGCCTCCAGGAACACAATCAATGTTCGAGAGGGTTCTCCTTGTCTCCTTGCTGAAAGTTTTAGCTTTCTTACCTTGACGAACTTCGGATTCCGATGCGCTCTCACTCTTCGTATTGCAGGCCAGGGCTTTCTCTTGTTGCTTTTCATCGCTAGACGCTTTCCATCATCAGCTTGATTCTTAGAGACCATTACATACACATTTCCTCCAGATGGTAAAAAGTACCCGTACTTTTCCGTCATTTCGAAGACTTCACATCCTGAAAACAATAGTGCATTCATTT